ATGCTTCTCCCTAATAAACTCATTTTTAAAGGCACATAGCGATGATGGGGCTGTATAAGGGAGAATCCCTTCATGTGACCCCCACCTGAAATCTAAAGTTGTGCAGTGGTACCTCAGGTTACAAACACCTCAGGATACAAACACCCTGGGTTACAAACACTTCAGGTTACAGACTCCACTACCCTGGAAGTAGTACCTTGGATTAAGAACTTTACCTTAGGATGAGGACAGAAAGTGCGCGGCAGCAGTGTGAGGCCCCATTAGTTAAAGTAGTTCTCAGGCTAAGAATGGTTTCAGGTTAAGAACGGACCTCCGGAACAAATTAAGTTCTTAACCAGAGGTACCACTGTATAGGCCAGGCGAAGCTTTACCATCTCAATGAAAACTAAGCATTTATTATTGCTGTTTGTGGCAAATGTCATCTGGTTTCCTTAGACCAAGCATCTGCTTCCAGTTAAGACTATACAGCAGCAGTTGATAGCAATTTGAGTCCTGCTGTTTTTGATACTTCACTAATTCAATCACCTAATAGCATCGGGTTTTTTCTCGTTCCCCAATACTATCACAGAACAGTCATTTGATCCCTGGATAATCTCTTACTCATATACATTACAAATAAAGCAAAGTAGGTGTAATTAGGAACTGTGCGAGGTATAATATTATTATACACAATAGAGGCAGAATCTGTTATTCTACTTTTTTGAAGAAGAAGAAGAAGAAGAAGAAGAAGAAGAAGAAGAAGAAGAAAGTTCTTAAGCTACCATTATTAACATAGCTCTATGCTACTTCATATTTCCCTCCCCTGAGGAGAATGAAATAACCATGAAGGTCAGGGGGGAAATATAAATTACTATATGTGAGCCTTCAGAATAGTATGCGGTCTTCAGCTGTTGATTTTAAAAAGCTTAAGAGTTTGACAGTCTGATAAGACTGAAGATTAAAGGAGGCCAACCAGCCTGTCAAAATCATAAGGCAAGGAACTGTGGGTGTGGGGAAATTGCAGTGCTGAACAAGCTTTGATTAAGGGGGGAAAGGGGCAAAAACATTTAGATAGGCACATTAACTGCAAGCCTATAATGTAGAAAGCTGCAAGAGGATTTTAGAGGTTGTTCATAGCTGCACATGTTGGTCTCCATTCTGTTCCTTGAAGGCTATAATTTCTTTGGCTTATGTTATATGAGCATGAAGGTCTTGTTTTCGTCTATACAAGTAAAGTAGGATTATTCGGCTTCTACCACCAGGCTAGCACTGCCTCTTATACCCCATGTTGATTGTTTAAAGTCCTTCTGGACACTGCAGTCCTATACACCAGCAGTGGGGAACATCTTTGACCCTCCAGATGCTTTTGGACTCAAACTCCCATCAGCTGCAGCCAGCATGACCACAGGTGATAAGCACTAAAGTTGAGGAACAGCTGGAGGGCCACATAGGTTCCCTACCTCTGCTATACACACTTACCTGGAAGTAAGTCTCATTGTCCTCAATGGGACTTACTTGTGTTGTTGGCATGTATAGGGTTGTGGGGTTAATCTCTTCGTTCTGGGAGCTAATTGGATCCATCTATTTCCTTGGATGGACGACATAATTGGTTTGTCGCCCCGCTGCCGTAATTGAGATGCAAGAAGCAGGTCTTTCAATCAGGTAACTATATATATTTATGGGATTTATATCTTGCACAAATGATCAGCAGGGCGGGTCACCAGAGCATAAAGTACACTAAAACAATAAAATACAGTTAGAAACATATTGGCACATCCAGATACCATATAATGGCCAACATATTGAGAAGGCTTGTCTAACGGCCTGGAGTCCTGGAAGGAGGGAACTGTGTGCTCCACAAGTGGGATGCCTTTGCAGAGAAAGCTCTTCAGCCTTCAACTCATAACAAATATAAACTCTCGACCTCTAATCTATAAGCAGGATACTGCATTCGGGGGAGGGGAGACCAATGCTATGTGAGAATGGTATCTTTTCTTCAAAACATAAGGTTCAACAGTGGTATTTGTAGTATTTTGGGAAGTGATTCACTAGGGGAGGGGAAGAGAACACACGTGACACTGGACTACAACTCCCATCATCCCTGTCCATTAGCCATACTTGCAGGGGCTGAATTCAGCAGGTTCCCTGCCTTCTCCCTGTAGCATGGATCTGCTAGGAACTTTAAAAGGTCTATGTCTCATGAACCCCACCCTAAAAATCCTAAACATTGTTTTTCTCTCGGGAGACATGGGGCTGCTAACAAGGAATCTAAGAAGTGCCATCATAAAACTACACGTCCCAGACTTCCTTGAGGGAAACCCGTGGCAATAATGCTAAAACACATTTAGTTTATAGTACAGATGGAGCCTTAAAAGTGATAAAAGGTAATAAAACAGGGGGAAAATGTCTCACAGAAGCATCATATGAGATAATATTGAACATGAAGATAATAGTATTCCGGTAATAAGTAGTACCTAGAGATTTGGCAGCATTAACTTTTTTCCCTATTAAAATTATTTTGCTAAATAATAACAAACAGAGTTCACCAGGGAGTGTGTCAGCTTCTTTTTAATTAGGTTTTTATCCACCAGGAGTGCTTTGATTCTTCTTCTTTTTTTCTATTGCATTATGCTTTCTGACTAAAGTGAAAATCTAATTTACTTATTTCATGTAACTCATAAATCACAGAGATGCTGAGGATTCTTTTTTTAAAGATAGAAGTACAATAAAAAGCTGTGGGGAAACTGAAGTTTTGAGACATATCTCATTAGAGCTTTTACTTTCATTTCCCTTGAAATATCAATCTTTATTGTAGTTCATATCCTAGTGGGTACAACCATGTATCTCTAAATTCCTTTGTCTTGTGAGGCACGATGTTTCCATCTAACACTGAACTTGAGTGGCCTCAATTGTTTAAGTTTGGAACACAGAGGGGATATACAAAAATAATTCAATGGTGTCTGCATACTCAGGGGGACTCCACAGGTAGGCAGAACTATGTAGGTTTGTATATTAAAATATATTCAATATTGTCTGACTTACATAGTCACTAAAATCTGCATATTGTGTCCTCAGGAAACTATAGCTCATACACAATGTGGTGGCTAGGTTATTGACAGGTGACAGTGTCTGAAAACATAAAACACCATTGTTTAAAGGCAATGCTACAACTTGGGGCCAGATTATCTGAAGGAATAACAGATTTATGCAGTCAATAAGGTCATTAATATAGGCCCTTCTGGTTGTGTCCATCTGGTGATGTCCAGGAAAGGGGCCTTTTCTGTGGTGGCACCGACTCTCTAGAGTAGGCTTCCCCCAGAAATAAGGCATGTACAGTACCAAGATCAGCACAGTTTCAGAAAAATGATGAAAACATGTCTATTCATGGTGGCTATTGGCGTCTAACACTATAAAAGATCAACAATTTTTTGACTGCTTGGTAGTATTTGATTATTTTAATTGTATATAGTATTATAACCACCTTGAGATGCACTTGTTAAAGAAAAATGGTCCAGCTAAAAGGAAGGGTAAACATAGCTCTAGGAGAGGGTAAAATGAATTACAATGAATCTCTACAGATACGAAAATAGGCATTATAGGTGAATTAGCACTGAATGAAGGACATCCTGTTCATGGTTATTCCATTGCGTGTTCAGACCCAGAGACCTCCCCCCTAAATAAAAACACATTTGACTCAAATTTTAGTTTTGGTTTTTGGCAGAATTTAGGCCACAGCTTTATTGATTACAGAAAAGTGAGTGGTTGCATAGGCTCTGGTTCGACTAGCTCCCTACACCCTTGCAGGTAGCGCTGGCCCAGAGCTCCATCATAGGTCAGCCAAGGGTGAACACCTGAAGCAGGTGAAAAGCCTGGGAACAGACTCTGTTCACTCCCCAGATGCTCCCCTGGACTCAGGGACTCTCCGGGGTTGACCAAACCAAGTTGAGTCCGTCCCTGGATTCCTTTAATGGAATATCTTTCACATAGGGATGGTGAGACCATTCTCTCAATATTGTTGATAACCATAATATTTTAAGACACAGGCAAATACATGTTTCAGCAGGAAATTAATTTCAAGTACATAAACTCTATTTCAAGTACATAAACTCTACTCATAGGAAAACGTTGGAATTTGGCAAAGTATCTTTCTGAGCCAATCAGATTATTGGGTCCAAAAGCCACACACACAACCAATGGAGAAGGACGTACATCATTCCTGAGTTACAGACACTGCTCAGGCTATGTGACATATAGTGGTACCTTGGTTCTCAAACACCTTGCTAGTCAAACACCTTGGTTCTCAAATGCTGAAATCCCAGAAGTAAGTGTTCTGGTTTTCGAATGTTTTTCGGAAGTCAAACATCTGATACGGCTGTCGGCTATTGTTTCTGGGGCGCCTGCACCAATCAGAAGTCGTGCCTTGGTTTTCAAACATTTTGGAACGGGTTAAGTTTGAGAACCAAGGTACCACTGTATTTGGTGCTTTTGTTTTTGTGTTTTTCTTTTTGAGGCTTTTATGGTTAATTTGTTTTTGTGACTACAAACACTGTCTTATTTATTTTATAGTACAGTACATTGATTATTGCTGTCATTTTATGGATCAATGGTCTTGTTAGATAGTAAAATTCATGTTAAATTGCTGTTTTAGGGGTTGTTTTTAAAAGTTTGGAACAAATTAATCTGTTTTGCATTACTTTCTATGGTAATGCACGCCTTGGTTTGTGACACTGTTTAAATGTTTGTTTATCAGATTTAAAAAACAACAACCCGTACATCTTAGTTTTATATGCGTAGGCTACAGAGAAAAGAATTACTTTCTTGTTTCTAAAAGTGAAGAGCAAAGAAACCCGGATTTGTATTTTATTTTATTTTTTGCATGAGGAGGGGGAGATAAAAGGATTAGAAAAGATTTTGTGCCAAGTGTCTTTAACTGGTTAACTTAGGATACAGTACGGCACAGGATAGGTAACAACTAGTTTATTAGTTAAATGGTGCCAACTTTTGTCTTCTTTTCATTCCAGGTTTTAATTGTGAATTCAGGCCCTGTGAGGGAGGGAATCCCTGTGAGAACGGAGCTGTGTGTCTGAAAGAGACGGACTTGGCTGCCTTTCCCCTTGGATTCCGGTGCCAGTGTCTGAAGGGCTTTGAAGGCCCACGCTGTGAGATCAACGTCAATGAGTGCAGCTCCAACCCTTGCTTCCATGGATATTGCTACGATGGTGAGTTTGGCATTTGTTTCTCCTTTTCGTGCAACCCTCACAGCTGCATTTGAGACATTTCAGGGAGATCAGCAGATAATGCTATCCAGTACGTGTGCCCTGGAAACAACTTTGCATCCTATTCCTGAAAGAAGGGGACTTTGCCAAGATGTCTCATTTTCTGGCACAGAGGTTTATCTTTCCAGAGGTCACCATTGAAGCTAATGAGAAATTCTAATGAGATGATTTTTTTTTAAAGTTGTCTCATCCGATGCTTCAATTAGCCCAAATGCCTTTTGTGCAATATATTTGATGTTGGGTAATTTTCAGGTGCTCAGAAACAGCTCCTCTGAGCAAGGAGGCACTGTTTGCAGTGAGTTTAACAAATAGGTTTGAATATTGCATTAAAATGAGATCAGGGCTGATGAAAGGCAGGGTGCTTGTCCAGTGGGGTGGGATGGAGAGAGAAAAAGCCCTGTACCATGTTTACCAGAGTTTAAATCCCCGTGTGCATTTCAGCTCTCACGTTTTTTAAAGAAATGGAAGGATTATAAATATTACCATTAAATCTTTATTATGGAACAAGCAAGGGAAAACCAAATATGAAGGGCAGTATACTTTGTATATTTCACTTCATGAACTGATTGGAAATGGAAAAAAGTGTTTGTTGAATAGAGGTAAGACACAAGTTCCCATTAGATCTAAGTAGTAGAATTTTAGGATAATTTAGTGCCATCAAAATCAATAGAATTAAGTCAGTTTATTATACTGTAGTTGTTCAGACAGAGGTAGACAGTGGACTAAGATGTTAGGTTACTGTTTAGAATTGCTAACTTTAAAGGGGAACAGCATGTCTGTATGTCCTCATAATCTTCCAAAATCTTATCCCAAATAAATTATATTATAAGCAATAATGTTGTCAGAAGCATCAGTCACTGTTCTGTAAACTCTAACCATAGATTCAAAGGTATCCATACTTTACATTCCCTGGGCATATTAGTACAGTGCTCCATAAATCTGACCTTGGCCAGTAACTTAGCCATTGTTTCTCTTCCTCTATGGGTTTTAAATACTGTAGATGGAGTGCCAATTCTGTTGCGAATTCTGTGGGAAAAGAGTAAAGAGAACCACAGAAACATTTGTAATGGTTAAACTCATGGCTGAGTCATCTGCCCATTTCTGACATGGTACAAACTGGGGTTGTCAGGGAACTAGGCCCAGAAAGCAATTCACAGGCACCAAGCAAAGGGGATGTGAACTTCTAAATTCCCCAACTGCTTCTCTTGTTTGGATGGAAGAATTGTTGTCCTCCTTGCCTGATAAAGGCTTTGCCTTTGATGGTGGTGAAGTCCCACCATCTGTAGAATTGGTTTGGGTACAGCCTCACTTCATGACTGAATGTGTCTTAATTTTTGGGTGAAGAGGCTTTGCTAGTAGTATGATGAGATACCATCATTGTAGCAGAGCCAAAACTGCTAATGGTCTTGTGGTTATAGGTTTAGAGTTTTTCTTTTGTGAAGAGTATTCAAGTTACTCAGTACTGTATCAAAGAAGGAGGGCCATAGCCCAGTGGTTAGAGCTTCTTGACTAAAGATTTCCTTCTATTCCACTCCTCTCTGGGACGTTCACCTTCACCAAGCACACTGATTTGCCCCCAGTGTTGGGCTCAGTAACACCTTCTTACTTTTTTCTGAAATATAATGCCTCAAATCTTGCAACCTTCCCTCATGAGAAAGTTGCTCCGGTTACTTGATCACTTTGACTTCCCCTTTCTGTCTGTCCAGGTGGATATTTATCTGACATGGTCCATTTTCAAGTTATATATATTGAACCATTTTATTTAACTAGGAACATAGGAAACTGCCATGTACTGCGTCAGACTTGTGGTTCATCTAGCTCCCTATTGTCTACACCAGGGGTTGTCAACCTGATCCCTGCTGTCCACTAGTGGGCGTTTCAGGAGTCTAGGTGGGTGGTAGGGGGTTGTATGGCACAAGCTGAATCCTCCTTCCATTGAGCACTGGTGGGCGGTAAGGAAGTTTTACCATCAAGAAAGATGCATTATTGGGCGGTAGGTATAAGAAGGTTGACTACCCCGGGTCTGGCAGTAGCTCTCCAGGTTCTCTTCCAGCCCTACCTGGGCATGCTGGGGATGGGACCTGGGGTCTTTGCATGCAAAACAGCTGCTCAACCATTGAGCCCTTCCTCAAAAGCAGATTATTTATTTATCTAACAAAATGTATATACTGCTTGATTGTAAGAAAACCTCTAAGTGGTTTACAAATTAAACAAATTCATGGAGGATAAGAATAACAATGGTTACTAGCTGTTCAAAAAAGAAAAGAAGCTTAAATTTCCATAGATGTGGATATTCAGCATATATATATATATATTATAAATTATTTGAAAGCTTACCCTTCAGGTTCAGATCTGAGAATCCGTGGAAGTAAATAACTATTGAGATTTGATAGACAAGTTAAAAAGGAGGTGAAGTGCTTTGCTTTAGCTCCATCTTAAAACTGTGAATTAAGAAAAATCCAAGCGTGTTGGGGGAAAAAAATAGTATTGGAACAAAGGGCTCCAAGCATTTAATGAGAGTAATAGCAGTTACATGTGCTGAGACTGAGTGACAGCCTAGATTACATGGTAAATCTTAGAGATAATGAAGAACCCAGGGACCTGTGTGAGGCTATAATAAATCTATGCCTGTAAGAACTGCAATCATTGCTGTCACCGGGTCCCTTGTATAGATGTAACTCTCCAAAGATACTTCTCTCTTTACATCACTAATGATGAAAAAGAGGAAGGACTGATTGTTAGCTTGGGAGGGGGCAAGAATGAAACATGGAAACTCATGAGAGTAGCTGATCAAGGCTGTCAAACCTCAGCTCTTGAGCAGTTTCTTTTAAATAAAGTGGCACAGTGTGAAAATGGCACCTCCAGATAATAAATGTTTCTTTCCCTGTCTATTTCTTTTAAAAATAACAGATGCAAAATATCAAGGGCACTTGTTTTTTTTCTTTTCCCCAATAGAAGAAATGCACCTCGGGGGAGGGATTTTTGGTGTGTGTGGAGGGGAATACCTGGAAGGGAAAGATGGACACCTGCCATCTAGGAAAACATCCAGCAACTGAACATCAACTGTAAAGCAGTTTGTGTTAGTTTTATATTAGCACTGTGTTGAAATCTGCCCTGTTGTTAAGTCAGGTGGGGCCATGTAGGAATTGGCTACTGTGTTGGGTTCAGAACATCGCGGTAGATGCACTCTACTCTGTGATGTCCCAGTCAAGATACTAGATTCGGGTAGGTAGCTGTGTTGGTCTGACGCAGTCAAAATAAATAATTTTTTTAAAAGGGTGGGGTTTTTATCAGAAGGGTAGTAGGAGATGGGTGATTGACTCAATGAGTATGGTAAACCTGTTGATGACTGTTAACAACTGCAATTAGTCCTACAGGGAAAAGCAAGGGATAGTATGCAAATGACAGTCGTTAACATTCCTCAACAGGTTTATCATAACCATTGAGCCAATCACCCATCTCCTACTACCCTTCTGAGAAAAACCCCACCCCACCCTCCCACTATATATAAGGGTCTGGTGACTTCTGTTTCAATGTATCTGAAGAAGTGTGCATGCACACTGAAGGTTATACCCAGAAGAAACTTAGTTGGTCTCTAAGGTGCTACTGGACAATTTTTTATTTTTTTTTATTTATCCAGTCAAGATAGTTTGGGATGGGAATTGCACCCAGTTTTCTTCATAGGAATGGATAAGAGCAGTTAATTCATAAGGGGGGTGGGTAAAAGCGGAGAGCATTTGGGAACATAACTGGTGTGGAGCTAAATTGCTTTTACACCTGATGGCCCTAATGCTGAAGATGGGGCGGAGCACGAGAGTGTACCCTCTTCTCAAATTAGGTGGGTTACTTAATTGTCATGAATGGCTGCTGATGTCATTATCTCCGGTATCAGAAATCGAGTTTGCCTGTGTATGACATACCTTCTTTTCATTTCAGTGACGATTACACAATACTGTTTCAATTCCCTCCCCCCGCCCCCCACCCCTTGCTTGTTTTCTCTTTCCAGTTCCATTGCCCTTTCTATTTCTGGAGAAATTAGGACTACATTTCTAGGATTTATGTGCTATCTTTATTTAAGTGTTTTGCAGTTCCAGTTACAATCTTTGTACAAAATGTGATTGACCTGCTTCCTCCCCCCCCCTTCACACACTGCAGTTGTTGACGGCTTCTACTGCTTGTGCAACCCTGGGTACGCAGGACAAAAATGTGACCAAGATATTGATGACTGCCTCGTTAATGCATGCAAACACAATTCTACCTGTGTGGATCTCCATTTGGTTAGTACACAGTAAGCATTTCATTTTTGCTTTTGGCGGAGGGGGGAGGAGTGTGCTACGGTGACCTATTGTATGTGCATGTACTAAAAAACTAGACTCCCTTAGTGCATAGCCTTCCAAGAGGACAGGAAACAAAACACTTTTTCATTCTTGTACTTCAGGGGTAGAGAACTTGTTTTCAGTGTGGTGGCCACATTCACTTCTGGGCAACTGTCTGGAGACAGGGATGGGGGGCACATTTCATTGGTGTGTGGGGTTAATGGAGCAATTAATGTGGATTTTACCAATGTACAGTAGGTAAGTTTCTACAGAAGCTCTCACACCCCTATTTTACATCCAAGAAGGACATACTCCAGCCAGGTTAGAACAGTCAAGAATGTTGCGAAGCAGGTCTAGTGTGGTTGTGGATGGGGAGAGGGTGTAGCAGTTCGAAAGCACATCAAAGTGCAAGTAGATAAATAGGTACCGTCCCAGCAGGAAGGTAAACAGCATTTCTGTGCGCTGCTCTGGTTTCGCCAGAAGTGGCTTAGCCATGCTGGCCACATGACCTGGAAAAACTGTCTGGGGACAAACGTCGGCTCCCTCGGCCAGTAAAGTGAGATGAGTGCCGCAACCCCAGAGTCGTCTGTGACTGGACTTAACTGTCAGGGATCCTTTACCTTTACCCTTTTACTACCTCCTTAATGCATCACCAAATGATGCTTACGTGATTTATCTTTCTCCTCTTCTCCTCTCTTGGGAACAGTATCCCAGTGAGAATCTACAAAAAAACAAGAACGGGTGGAAATTACTTGCATGAATGGTGCTTACTTCTCCCTGTGCTTACAATCTCTCTTTTCTTCTACAGCTAAATCTTGCCATAAAAAGCCTAATTCACTTCCATTTACAGCATCATATCTTAGATTTGTTTTCTTTGTGTGTCCCAAGAGGCTTTTTGTTGTTGTTTTCTTACCATCACTCAAGTCTATCCATTCTCCTTCTACAGTAATATGTCATATTCCTCTGTCAAAAACATATACCATTTTGTTTTAAATGGACTGTGACATAGTTAGAAGATCAATAAAATCCCCACTGGGTCATCATTCCCGAGAAAGCTGGGCCAGAGGGGGGAGAGAGACATAAGAACACCCTCCCCTCGGAGCATTTTTTCAATATAGAAATAGAAACACACACACACACACACACACACACACACAGGGTTTAGCTTTATTTGGGGTATGCCATTTATGATGCTTTTGGTTGGCTTTTCACCTAATAATGCTGCTGTTGTTTTTTTGTAGCATAACATCATTGTGCACTATAATCACTTTAAAAATAACTGTTATGGACAAAGAGCATTTAATTGTTTTCTTTTTGTCAGATATATCCTTTGTTGGGTATTTGACTTTCCTAGATGTGCAATTCAATCATAATTATAAATGCAAATAAATAAGACAAAAGCCTTCTCCTAGATCTGGTGTTTATAGTGCAATCCTATACATGTCTCCTGAGAAGTAAGTCCCTTTGAGTTCAGTGTTGTTTCCTTCTAAGTAAGTGAGTATAAGATTACATGCTTAAACACTAGAATGAATTGCATTGCTCATATTTGCTACCACTGCATACACCATAAAATCAGTAATGAACTAATGGAAGGTGAAAGGTTGTGATAAAAAGCAACCTTTCAATCTCTTCTTAGGGATTTTTTGTAGGCTTGGTTTTGTTCAGTATTTTCTTTGGTGACCTTAGAGAGGGGTGGAAGACTGTGATAAAGAGAATAAATCTGAGAATGACACTGCTAAGAGCATTAATAATGAGGAGGCCAACTAGGAAGCCATGCAGGATTAACAGTTTGACCTTATGAACTAAAGTAACAGATCTTAAATTCAAGAGTTCACAATATAAGGTCCTGGGTCTGGGGACCAATAATGGTCATTTTCACTGTTAGCCAGGCAGCCTGACTGAAGGGAAATGGGGTGTCTTGGTACTGCTTAATCAATAATAAGCAGCCACCAATATGATGTTTCTGCCTTGAGGGCAAAAGCAACTATTGATTGTGTTATGTAAGGCATTTCTTGTTGGCATAGGGAAGTATATTCATACTTTTGAACAGGAGAAGGATAGGACCTCACCTGAAATGATATCATCCCACTGAGTGATTGGGAGCGAAGGCGACAATATTCTTCCTTTCTCATAACAGAAGAACTCAAGGTCTCTCAATAAAATTGATTGGCAATAAATTCAGGGCAGATAAAAGAAAGCTCTTCACACAGAGCATCATTAACTTATGAAATTTGCTGCCATAGATGTGGTGATAACTGCTGCCTTATATAGCTTTAAAATTGGTTTAGGCAAGTTTTGCTGATCCATCAGGGTTCACATCCCAGTGTTGGAAACCCAATGTGCAAATAGGGCAGCACTCTTCACTGAGCACATATTAGCTGGGGAGTGCATCTGGTACACATAGCATCGCCAAGAGCACAAAACTTACACATATTTTGTGGGAAACAAATTGATGTGGCATAAAAATTGAAACAATCCTCTGGATTGAGCAACAGAGTGCCGGCATGTTGTCTTGCAGTGAGGGGCTGTGCTTAATACCTTTTGGCACAGTCCAGCTTTGTGATTGTAACAGTGGTGGTCCTCAGCTAGCAAGATTTATCTGCTGTCATCTGCTATTTATAATACATAAGAGATAAAACAGAATGTGATGTTGGGGGAGTCCAGTAGTGCACTCTGCTGAGAAAGGGATGAGTTAATGCTCAGTTTATTTGTTTTGTATGCATAGGTTCCTTCCATGGGGGGCGGGGGGGGGAGGAAATATTTTGGAATTGCTCTCCTTGCCTTTCTCCTGTACACTTACATAAATGTAAAAAATTTTCAACAGATATGAAAATAAAAATTGTTTTCCAGCAACCAAATCCTTTTTTCCATTTACTCAAAGTAAGACAGGCTGTTCAACTAGCCTTGCTTCTAAAAGAGGGTTGTAGGATTGTAGCTGAAATCATTCATCAAGGATATACATGGCCCATTGTCTTTATGCTCTGTAGGGATACTAAAACCTGACTGGAAGGAAGAAGATCGATGCCACTGAGATCAGTCTGCCCACCTGTGTTTCCTATAAAGGGGACAATGGTGAACCAGTGCAGTGGTGTTATTTTTGCAGCAGTAAGAACCATTTGTCTAATGCCTTTTAAAACAATTTATGGCATCTTGTATGTATGTGAAGTGCATGGTGTTCACTTGTACTGTCAATGTGATGGATTAAGGCAATGCCATAGCTGAAGTATGAGAGCAGATTAAAGGGATGTGGTACTTTCATCTGGAAAATAGAGGAGTGGTCACCAAAGCAAGCTACTACATCATCCTGTGACAAAACACTATATGACACAGGCCGACTTTGCTATGTTTATTAATATTCTCACTGGAAAAAATGGATAGTAAGAAATTGCTGAGAAAGAAAATCCTGACTAGGTGAAGCAAAACCAAAAGGAGATAAGATGACCAAGTCAAGAGACCAGTTGATGGGGGAGAGCCAGTTTTCCTCCATCTTGTGGAGGGCAATAGGGATGAAAGAGTTTAGCCCCTCCCTACTTTCATGTTGATTTTTTTCATGTGACCCATCCATCTTGACCATCATTTCTTGCCAAAAGTAGGACAGAACATGACCAGGCTCTCAACGCCCTGCTCCTATACAGAGCTATGGGGAGAACTACTAAAGCTTCTGTTTGGCACGCTGGTGGAAGAGACTTAAAGAGCCCTTTGCTCATGCAGTACTGCTGCTTATGTGACATAATGACTGAACTATGCTCAGTCACTAATAGTGCTGTTTACTTATGGGGTGAGATGGAAGGAGAATCCCTTCTGGTGGTACAGATTCCTGTTGGTTTTTGAAAGAAGGCACGTTGACTGAGATTGGGTAATCTTTACTCCTTCTCTAATAGGTCATCCTTAGCCAGCACTGAGATGACACCCTTTTTTCTGTCACATAAGTATCAAGCTTTCAGTCCATTCTAGGACTTTGCAAAAGCAAAGTGGCTGGTCATGTGTCCCAATAGAAACAAGGGATAATCATGCTTGGAAATAGCCACAGATCACCTCCTAGTTGGCATCCTTCTTTTTAGTAAGAGTTAAATTTTTGAACCAAGCAAGGTCAGTGGTACTGCCTCCATTCTGACTTCACACAAGCAAAGGGCTCTTTCATTCTCCCTCACCAGTATGCCCAACAAAGGCTTTGGTAGAGTTTTCCACTTATCTCTGTTGTGGAGTACAGAGTTGAAGAACCTTTTGCCTTGGTTTGTATGAGACTAAGTGACTGAAATGCTGAAATACTGTGCCAGACTGAGTGTCCAGCCTACCATTTACCTCTCCCTAGTGTGAGCCACTGTGGGGTGGGATTATTGCTTAGACTGAGTATATATGTGATGGAAGCTCTTAAGTGACTGTTTTGTCATTGTAGCAAGGTCACAATATTTTTCTTCATTATTCCACTGAAATCACTTAGTGCTAAAAACACCAGTTACCAAGTTCCTGTTTCCTAGCCTGCACTGCTTGCATCTGACATATTACATATATATGCTGCAAATGTTTTTTTTTTAAAAAAATGGTGTTCCGTTTCAGCCATGTGACTCCCAGAAATCCCTGAGAAATTGCACAGCTCTTTGAAATTTATCCCATGTAGTTCATTTCTGTAGTAAGAGCTGTTTTTGAAGACTTGGTGCTGGTGAGTTGTTGAATAGTAATGCCTCAAGGTGCCTTTATCTTACTCAGTACTATGGATTTATTTCACCCATCTAAACTGAAGCAAAAGGATCCATAGGCTCTTAAGAGTAACATTGGAACACATTTTCTGTGACATCCAAAATAGTGTTTTTCTGATTTATTAGTTATAGTGATGATATTTTATTCTATAGCAAACTGTGCGATAAATGGAAAAAGAAATTGCATAAAATGCACATAGAAATCTAATAGATGACAGAATAACAGGGAAAATAAGAGGAAAATCAGATGGGAGCCTTGAAACT